ATGTAATTTTCATCATTTTATTACGAGATTTTATATGGAATATGACATAAATTTTTTTTCGAAATTTTACATCTGAAAAAGTCATATCACATGTAAATTTTCGAATGCAAAATTACATGGTGTGTGATTTCTTTGAACGTAAATTTTCGATTGTAAAATTTCTCCAAATTTCTTTACAAGTTCGATTGTGCCCCCTAACTTCAAACTTCTGCGTCCGCCACTGCTTTATATCAGTGATATATTGAATAACATTACTTTTTTATTGCTCCATAAAATTTAACGTCCCAACAAATTTTTTTAGGTAAAATTAAAACAACGCAGAAAAGATTAGCATAGAATGACTTGTTGATATATCAATAAAAAAAATTGACTAGGAATATATGATTTTAGTTTGTGATGTGACTCGATAATCTTCATCTTCATCTTCCTTTCTTTTTAAACACAAAAGGACCACCATTGTGATTGGCATCTCTTCTTGTTCATGATTCAAAACTTTGCTAACTTTTTCACAATTTTTTAGGATTAGTAAATTACTTAACGGATTAGTTCAAATATGTCATTTTCTGTTAGGACGGGACAGAGTAGCACTTTACATCCCCAACTCTATTAAGGATTTTTGAATGATGAGGCAAGACGAGACATGAATTAAAATATTTTTATTTCCTATCAGGGCAGCCTGCATTTGGCATCCCTCTTATTCATGTGTTGACTTAGAAAAGATCTAAAATAAAAAGAAAGGAGATATAAAATAATTTTGTTAATTTTTGTTGTCAAACACTCCATACTTATACTTATTTTCATCTGTACACAGATTAAGAAAATGTAATCAATTGTTCTTACATTTTTCCTAATATATCCCTATATTAATAGTGGTTTAAATAGGAGTAGTTTATATTTATTGATAATAGACACGTTACATAGAGACGTACTGAAAACTAAAAATAAACTATAATCTAAATGAGGAAAGCGACCAATAATTTGGAATATACAAAAAAGGAAAGCAAACTTATCTTTAATTCAACGATCTCGAGTCCGGTGTTCCCAATTGACCTATATACTATAAATGTGAAAAATAATAATTAACCTATGGATACTTAGACTATTCTTCTTAAGAATGTCTTCTTTTTGAGTTCACACACCAATAAAGTAGGTTAACCTTTCAAATTTAAAGAGTTTAGATGAGAAATTTAATATTAGCTTAAACTTAAAATAGTAATCAAATTTCATAGTCTATTTTCAAGTCAATGTGATTATAAAAGTTTGCATGAAAGGACCCCCACTACTCATATTTGCTTTTGTATTGTTACCAAGAGTCATGATAATATGAAGAATAAGATATACTTCCTGGGTCCCACAAGATAAACTTATTTTTATTTTTAATACAAATTAAAAATATATAATTAAAATGATTAAAAATATAAATTTTACTTACATCTTTTTAACCCACGTTACATTAAATAATAGTTTTATAATTAAATGACACATTAGAAAATTAAGAAATTAATTATTTTCTTGACAAAGAAAGTGACATATAATTAAAGATATATAAAAAAGGAAATAATTCTATTTTTATAGGACGAAGGG